TGAGCAGTTCTCTCGTCTGTCACTCGGGGCTGCCGGTGTCCCTCTCCAGGACCTGGATGCCTGGAAAGGATGCTGGCATGGCCCCAGTGGACAGGCCAGCCACGTGAGGGGCTGCTGCACAGCAAAACCCATGGCGGTGGTGTCGCAAGAATGTCATCTGTTCTTCACATCCAGTCCAGGAAGGGCTGTTGACTGGAGGCAGATGTACCCAGCAAGGCCTCTGACTGTTCCTATTACCCCCTGGGGTGGGGGGGCCCCTCTTCCAGCCTATCTGGGGCCTTGCCCTTCCCTTCAGCCCAGAGCTGGAAATAATGCCCCTTCCAGCAGGAGGGAGCTGGGAGCCAGGGCTGCAGGCAGCTTCCCAATCCAGCTCCCAGCCCACGGGGCCCAGGGACAGAACTGGGAGCCTTCCACACAGAGGCGGCAGGACCCCCGGCGTGCGCCTTCAGCAGCCTCTCCCTCCGCCCCCGAGGCTGGGAGGCTCTGTTCTGGATGCTTCCTGATCACGGGAAGCCTGCAGACCCACGAGGAGCTTGATTCCTCTGCGTGGGAGAGCCGGGTCTGCGGAGGGGGTGGGGGACCCTTTTTCCCGGTGACGTCTAAGTAACCATGGTGGCGGCAGCTGACGCTGGCCCAGCCTGGCTCCGGGGAGGGCTCCTCCAGGTCCTTCGAGACTCCCCTCCCCTCTCCCCGCCTCTTCCCCTTCTCCTCCCCACACCCCTGCCGCCTGCAGTGTGCAGACCCCCCTTCACCTCACCCCAGCGCCATGTCTGCTCCCCAGCTGGGAAGTCAGGTCCAAAGGCCAGAACAACCGCCCAGGTCCCTCCGCGTCTGAAGATGCACTGCCGTGGCCAGACACAGAAATTCACCACGGGGTTTCGGCCGGCATTCCCGCGCCCGGGCCCTCGGAGAGGCAGGGGCGCAGGTCTGCGGGCCACCGCGGCAGGGCCACGGCGTGGCGCCCCACACAGGCCGCTGGCCGAGCATACAAAGCACCCGCCGGCCATTATCATTCCAGAGCCGGCGAGAGCCTCCCGGCTGCACCTCATCGGTCATTCAGCAGCCCGTAATGACTTGTCAGTTCCTTGCCCTGCCATTTTCTGTCTAATTAATTCTTTTATTGTGCACCGGATAAAGAAAGACAAAGGCCTCGCCGGCAATAATGATTCATTAAAATGCAGCGCCTTCGCCCGTGCTCCTGGCCCAGCACCAGCCCGGCTGCTCCGCCCCGCTGTGGGCACAGCCGCCCGCGCCCCTTAACCCTTTGTGGAGTCTCCCGGGCTGGGTGCCCCGCCTTTGCCAGGGCCCCGAGGGAACAGGGCTTACGCAGCCGCCAGCTGCCCCCAGGGGAGTAGCCGGGCCTGGGCCAGTCGGGGCGCTGCTGAGGAAGGGGGTCCTGGCGTCTTACGCTTGTCCGAGGCAGACCTCAGTGGACCTGGGCCTGGAATCCCGATTGGTTCCCCGGCCAGGTGTGCCCACCCAGGCTGGGGCAAGTCCCCCAGTCCTGGCTGTAGGCCCGTGGGGAAGGTGGGGCGGGGGAGGGCGAGGAGGAGCGTCAGTCACACCCAGGACCTAGGGTCTCAGGACATATCAGCTTGAGATTTGACCAATGAGAGGGCAGGACTAGAGTGCTGGCCGCAGCCACATCAAGCCCAGCTCAGCGGAGCTGTCACGACCTCGGGGTCACAGGGGTAAACTGAGGCACGGGGAGGTCAAGAGGCAAGTGGCCCACCCTGCCTCCCTGCGGGGAGGCTGTGTGGATTTGCCGGACACAGCAGGAGGGCGGCTCTCTGGGTATGAGTCCCAGGGGTGTGAGCCTGGGGAGGAGGCGGCACCTTCTTCAGCAGTGTCACTTGATTTTCTTGCTGCAAAACCTGCTTCATTTTGCAGATAAACAGAAGGGTCGTGGCATGGCGCGAGGCGGTAATAACACCACCAACAGCACGTCAGGAGCGTGGGGGGTACTGCGGGGGAAAGTCCTGGTCTCACCAATTCCTCAGGGTCATTCCCATTGCACAGGTGGGAAAGCAGAGGCCCCGGAGGAAGCCACCTGCCCCAGCACCCCTGAGAAGCGGCAGACTCTGGGCTCAGCCTCGTGCTCCTCTGCTCCAGGACAGCCTTCCTGCGCATGCAGGTGCCCCGCCCCCTCCTCCGAGGACTCCCGCCACCCTGGGAGCCCCGCAGCTCCCACAGCCCATCCTGGAGACGCAGTCTATGCTCCGTGTAGAACACGGGGGACGCCGGAATGAGAGGGGATGGTGGGGCCGTTAGGGGACATCTCCGAAAGATGGATGGGAGGTGCAGGAACCGCAGCTCCCCTTTCTTTCCCAAGCTCTTGGGAATATTGGAGCTCCCAGGGTGTAGGGAGCCCAGGTGGGTCCCTGCAGTTCCCACGCAGCGAGGGAGGCCACAGCCCGCCTTGTCTGTAGTGGCCTCAGGACTGGGCTGGCAGAGCCAGGATGTGGGGAGCAGGGGCAGGGCCTCTGGCCCCAGGAGAGAGAAGCAGATGTCGTCACTGGCAGGGCCTGGGCAGCGGGCGATCTGAGCCTGTGGCTAGCGTCACCTGCCTGAAGCCCCTACAGCCCTGCAGGAAGGGCCTGGGTGAGGCTCGGCCGCAGCCCTGGGCTGGGTCTCCTTCCCTCAGGGGTGCTTCTTTACCCGTGTCTCGGGGACCACCCGTCTCCTTCATCTGTGGTCTACACTGACTTGGAGGGATTTGAACACAGTGCTGGCTTCGCTGCCCGAGACCAGGTCCTGACTGGCTTGGGTCTGCTGTGGAGCTTGGTGGGGTGTACTTGTGGCCGTCCACACAGGTGTCTGTGGGTGGTCTGGTCTCGTGGCCTTGGCGTCACCGCACCGCCCGGAAGCATGACCCCCAAGCCCGGTGACTCCAGCCGCAGCCCCAGCAGGTCTGGAGCAGCTAGAGATTGGGTCAAGAAAGGTCGTTCATCCTGGGCTGGAGAGGCAAGCCTGAGGTCCAGACAGCAGCCCGGGACAGTGGGTCCACGACACCCCATACCGACAGTCCCCTGACTGTGGCCCAATGCCACAGCAGACAGAGCACGCCCAAATCTCATGCCCAGGAGAGGCAGGTGAGTGGGACCTGAGGCCCCTCCCAGGCAGTTGCGGAGAGGACAAGGGCCCTCTTGGGAAGGAACAGCCATATGGCCGTGAACTCACACCCCAACTGATAACCTGCCCCTCAAGCCGCTTCTGTCCCAGGAATACCAGAGGGACTTTTCCAGGCTATCAGAATCCAGGGCGGGTCACCAACACCGTTTCCCCTTTTGGGGCTGAACACGGCATTCGGTTCAGCCGAGCTCAGAGGCAATGCTCTCTGTTGAGGGTGAGGACGTGGAAAATGAGGAACTGCCCTGACCGGCCTGCCCTGGGATGCTACGCTCCCAGGAGGGCGCAGGGAAGCTTGGGCTCAGGGCGAGGTCAGCTTGGAAACTACGTTGTCAGCCTGGCCTGGAGCAGCTGGAGACGGGGTCTCCAGCAAAACCCGCACGGGCCGGAGACCTGGGCAAAGCAGCCTGACCCCCAGGGCACCAGCTCCGGCCGCCTCCCACATGCGGCATCGGGGGATGAGGACCAGCGCCTGGAGACTCCCAAGACCCCTGGTGCGGGGCTCAGCAAGCCACAAGCCCTGCCAGACCGAGACCCCGGGAGAGGTGGGGATAAAGGGCGGGGCCCTGCAGGGGGAGGAGGTGTCCACGCACCCCTCAGCCAGGCAGGGTGTGGACGCTCCTTGACCTTCACAAAACTCACATAGAGGAAAACCCACAGGAACACCCCCGGGACGGGACCATGGGGCTTCCCGCCCCCCACAACATGCCCGTGAGACGCAAGGCCCGGGCCCCCAGGAGTTAACTGGAAGCAGCTCCACCAAGTCCACACAAAACTGGCAGGGCCTCCAGCCCTTGGGAACCTGGCAGGCCCCAGAGCGAGTCCCAGGGCATTCCAGGGGCAGAGCTGGCTTTGCCAGCTAGCCGGACGCTGGGTTCTCCCTGGTCTGGGTATCAATGCATGGGCTTTGAGGGACGTGTGAGCCTGGAGAGCCCCTGGCTGGATGCAGGATGGGCTGGGCAGGTTCCGTGGCGGCGGTGGGTGTCTGTGAACCTGGTTCTCCGCAGCCCCTCCCAGCATCCTCCTCGCCGCAGGGCTTGGCACACCCCACCCCCCAGGAACCCTCGTAAATCCAGAGAGCCCCACCCCCCGAGGCTCTTGGTAGGCCCCAGAACAGGATCCCCACTGCAGGGGTGAGGGGCGGAGAGCCAGGCGGGCAAGGAGACGGGGTGGGTGTCCCCTACCCAGGCCGCCCCGTTAAAGTCGTAGATGCAGCTGCCTCTTGAATTCAGGTTCTTGTGAGAAGCACATCCTCCCCCACCCCCTTGAGAAGCTGAGTCTCTGCACTCCAGGGGCGGTGGCCCCGAGCCCCGAGACGCCCCCACACTGGCCTCGGGTGCCCGGGAGGCCTGGCACAGAGGCCGGCTGCCCCTCACTGGCTGTCACTCCCACAACCATTTTCTCCCTAGAAACTTCCCTCCAACCAGACAGCTCTGCCGGCTCCTGGGGCCGCTTTCATCCCAGGCTGGCTCCGTGCCAAGCCCGAAAGCTGCCGCCGGCTTCCCGGCGTTGCACCGCCACCCAGAAACCAACTCTGGGAGGAAAAACACAGCCCCGAATCGGGCCCATCTGGACCCATTTTGCCTGCCGAGGAGGCCCTCCAAGAAGGAAGATGAGGAGCTCCCTTCCCGGAGGCTGAGACGGGATTCGAGAACCACACCGGTGTTTCAACTCAGACCGAAGCCTGCCGGCGCCTCGTGGCACGACGGGCTGCCCCTGCCACTCTGGGCCCAGCCCTCCTGGCTGCCCAACTCGGAGGGCCCTGGGGTGAGGCCGGTGGCCACGTGGCACGGCCCGATCTGCCTTTGCTGGGCACCTTCGCCCTGGGAGCCCCAGGCTCACGCAAAGCAACACACAAAATGCAGCCCACACTCATAAAAAGCACTTTGTTTAATTTTATCAAATCGATCTGTACAAAAGTTAGCGTTGCTTGGTCAGAAAGTAGCGAAGGCAACAGGCGGGTGAGGGCGCGTCCTCCGAACCCTGTGCCCAGGGAGACTCGGGCCTGCGGCTGCCCCGCCCCCACCCCCAGGGGAGTAGATAGATGCAGAGACATTTTTTTTCTACAAAAAGGTAAGAAAAGTAGAAAAAGTAAAAAGAAGCAACTTCACGGATGTAATTAAGTTTACAAAGTTTAAAGGCACAAGTTTCTGTGAAGGAGGCGCTATGCATGCGCGATGCTGGGCACGCAGGGAGGGCGGCGCGGGTGAATCGGGTATTACTCCTCTAAGCTAAGGCCCTAACAATGTTTAGTGGGGAAGGTTTAGTTTCACAGCTTGGTAGGTGGCACCTGGTGCCTGCAAGCCAAGGTCACTTCCGAAGCCACGGCTTCCCAGGAATTCCCGTGTTCTGTACCACGTGGCACAGTTGTGGCCAGCAATGGATTCCCACTCCCCAAACCCCAACCTGATACTGGGTGCTGGGGCATCTCGACCTGATCAGAGATGCGGCAAGGCAAGGCCCTTCTCCTCCCTCGAATTTTCGGCTGCCAAGCTCAAGGCCTCCCAGAGACCTCAGGACCCCCAGCCCCTCCAGGGCAGCCTCCCAAAAGCCGAGCACGTGACGCTGGGCAACAGCTGCAACCCCATCTCCCGCCGGCCCTCCAGGGGAGCTTCCCAGCTTCCACTCTGTCCTAAATTCTACTCTTTGCCCAAAGTACCTCATTAATTAAAGATAAAATAATACAGAACATAAATAGATCTTTAACAGCTTTCAAAAGAAACACATTTAAGCTTCAAAAATAAAAATTATCGAAAACGTAAAAATAAAAGAGAGACGTGTTAATCACAGCCAGACCTCGCGTGGGCGAACTCTGCCAGCAAGGGGACGCCTCGGATCTGACAGGCGGTTCTGGAGATGCTCCAGTGGACGCGTCCCAGAGGGTCTGTGGACCGACACCCTGGACAGCCCGTGCACCTGTCGTGGAGGGAATGTGGCTGTGCGTGCCGGGGATCTGAGCGCCAAGGCTGGCCTGGACCTCAGAGCGCCTGCCAAGGCCCCCCAGTCCCCCCTCCTTTGGTCCTGGGGCCGTTCTGCCGCTTCTCCTCCGCTGAGACGCAGACCCAAGTGCCGTGGCCGCCAGTCCTCCCAGAAGAGGGACCCAACAGCAGCCCTTCCTCGTGAAATAATCCCCGGCCACCTCAAAGAGAGAGAGAGAAGGGAGAGGGAGAGCGTCTGTCGGCGGAGGTGTGGCCATCTGGAGCAGAGGGCCACGGGCGGGCAAGCAGGTTTCCCTGCAGACTTCAGCAGGCACTTGACGGAGCTTGGCCACCGGGGCCCCTCCTGCCCTCGCCATGCACGCCAGGAGGCTCGGAGGCTGGGCTGTCCAGGCCGGGACAAGGCTGCCGCCCCCACGCCCGCAAGTCCCTCCCCGAGGCCGGACCCTCAGGGCCTGGTCAGGGTGGTGTACAGCGGCTGGTCCCAGTGGCTGCTGGGGCTGTGGGCGGGCGGCAGGGCCAGGCCGTTGAGCAGGGGCGAGGCGTAGGGCCGGCGTGGCGAGTGGAAGCAGGGGTACTGGTAGAGGCCGGGCGCGTAACCCGGGTAGGCGCCGTAGTAGCCAGAGGCCTGCAGGTCGCTGTAGTCACCCTGGGCGCCGGTGAAGGGGCCAGCGGGGGTGGCTGGCGGGACGCTGGCCTGGCTGCTGCAGGAGCCGTAGTCGGGCGAGCCCCGGGGCTGGTCGCCGTAGTGGCCAGGGCTCGGCTGCTCTGTCTTGATGTGCGGCCGAGGGGGGCCCGTCTCGGTGGGCGACGCGGAGGCCGACGGGGCGCCCTTGTGGGCCCACACGGGGGACGCCCCTGCGTGGAAGTAGGTGCCCCCATAGGCCTGGCCAGGCTCAGGAGGGGCAGGGCCGCCCAGGGGCAGGTACTGGTCGAATTCGTGGACGTCAAAGGCGTCCATGGTGCCCATGACCTCGCTGCTGAGCTCCGAGATGTCCACGTTGCTGAAGTCGATGTTCTGGCGCCCGCTGTCCGTTGCCCGGCGTCCCTCCAGCTTCAGCTCCGGCTTGGCAACCGCCTGGTGCAGCTCCGTCTTGGGGGTGGTGGGTGGGGTGGGCGGCCCGTGGGTCTGCCCTGGGGACGGGAGAGCGGGCGTCAGGGATGAATGCCCCTTCTGTGGGGCGGGTGGGGCCGGCGAGGCTGGAAGGGGAGGAACGCCAGCGCTAACTGCCAGAGGGGGATCAACGGCTTTTTGTTTCTCCACATTCCCAGAAATTCCAGCAAAGTCAGACCTAGACTTCACTCCTCGGCCGAGAAAATTCCGTGAAGTGCTGTGCTATGGGAAGACCGAAGCCCCTCCCAGAGACCAAGGTGGCTGGTGTGGGGGGGGTGGCAAAGGCGACAGGCCCGGCCTGGCCAGAGCTGGCATTGACGGGGCACTCGGGAACCACACAGACCCTGTTCCTTCCCCGGTCAGCCAAGCACTCCGGGGCTGGTGGGCGTCAGCCAGCCTGACCAAGGCCCCCAGCGGGACTCCACCCTGTCAGCCAGGCGCTGAGGCTGGGGCTGCTGAGCGTGGTGCGGGCAGCGGCTGGGTGTGGGAAGAGGAGCCTGCATTCAGCCCAGTCTGGCTGAAAACGCCACCTCTCCCGGCGGGCCAAGCCAAGCTGTCAGGCCCTCAGCACTGGAGGATGCTAAGCAGGTCACTCTGCACCAAAAACGGAGGAGGCCGGGGCCCTGGGTGCTTTTTCAGGGGACCCGGGGAAGGCCCGGTTCTCTCGAAGGCGCCTGCCCCTGCACCATCAATCACCCCATTCCCACCCAGACACCCCACGGCTGCCTCCCGCACCAGGGACCCTCGGACACGCTGGGGGCCTGGAGCCCACCTGTGTGGTCGCCGTTGTGGTGCGCGTCTCCCAGCCCTGCGTCAGCCTTGTACACGGCACCACTGCCCGGGTGGGGTCCCAGCTCGGCCCCCGAGTCGGAGTCGCTCTGGCCGGCCTTCGCACTCTTCCTGCGCCTCGGCTGGTACTTGTAGTCCGGGTGGTCCTTCTTGTGCTGCACGCGCAGCCGCTCGGCCTCCTCCACGAAGGGCCGCTTCTCGCTTTCGCTGAGCAAACTGCAGCACAGGGCACAGGCAGGGATGGCCAGGGCGCCCACGGTGCCCTCGGGGCGGCCGGCGGAAGCGCACACGGCGCAGGGAGCGGGCAGCAGAGCCCGGGGCCGGGACGCTCTGACCAGGGAAACCCGCCTGCCACGGGCTCCGGAGCCTCCCGGGGCACCAGGCACCACGCCCCTCTGGGAGACCCAGACTGCGGGAGCCCCCGGAGCCTGCCTGGGGGAGGTGGGTATGCTTATTACGGCCAAAGAACGAGCCCCAAACCTCCCGGCCTTCCTCCTCCTACTTCCTCCAATTCCGGCCCGTTGTTCCCTCCCTCTGGGGCTTTCTAAGGGAGGTGGGGGAGGCGGGCAGGACCCAGCAGGCGGTGGACAAAAGCGAGGCTTCCCGGGAACGGTGCCGGCCTCCAGCGGGCGGCTGGGCGTGCTGTCCCTCCATTCCCACACATCCAGAAGTCCTGGCAGGGCCCAGGCGCCCATCCTCGCTGAGCCCTAGGACACACACCCCCTGGGACTCTCCTGAAGCTCTACACCAACCGCCTGCGCGGCGGGACTTGGGGAGCAGGGGCTGTGTGGTCCACAGCACCCCGTGGCTGCGCCCTAGATCCAGACAGAGGCGGAGGGCGCAGATATGCAAGCCCCAAGCTCCCGTTTGCCAGGTGAGGAGCAGGATACGGGAACCAGGGCCCCAAACCAAGACATCCATTTAAACCCAAGTGGACGACGTTTGGTGGGGGCGGCCTGTCCTGAGCAACAGCTTCTCCCCTCTGCAGTCCTACTTTCCGGAAAACGCACCGGCTCCACCGTGCCGAGGCGTGCACACAGCGCGCCCGCCATCTCCACTCCTGCCCTCCTTGCTTCCGGCACAGGGTGTCCAGGAGAGGGAGAGGCTGCGGGCCGGTACCCGCCGGCAAACCTGCCGCCCACCCATTCGCCTGCCCCATTCCCTCCCCAAGCGTGGACCAGAAGCCGGAGGGGCTGAGCCCTTTCTAAGGAGGGGGCACCTCCAGAGAGCCGCATGCAGCTTGCTCCGTGCCCGACGGGCCTCCCGGGGCTGGGAGCACTCGCAGCGGCCGGGGGGCACGTCGGGGTGCCAGCCATGGCCCTCCGCAGGGTGTTCTCCGCTAGAAGAACTGGCTCGAGAGTCCACCCACCACGAGGGTGTGGACCCCAGGCGCTGCCCTCCGCGGACCCGGATCCCCATTCCTGGCTCCGAACCCTGGCTGGCCAGAGGGTGTCTTTCCACGGAGACCCGCCCTGACACCCGCCCCGGGAGCAGAGCCTGGAGCCTGCTTGCGGCCGCCACCCCCGCTTGCCCTGAGCCCTCCAGGCCCTGCTCGAAGTCCCGGACCAGGGGCGGCCTGGGTCCCGACTCCCGACCCCGGGGCGCGGGCACTCACCGCCACAGTTTGCCCAGCGTCTTGCTGAGCTCGGCGTTGTGCAGGTGCGGGTACTGGTCGGCCAGCTTGCGGCGTGCCGCCTGCGCCCACACCATGAAGGCGTTCATGGGCCGCTTCACGTGCGGCTTGGCCTTGAGCGCGCCGCCGCCGCTGCCGCGCACTGGCATGGGCACCAAGCTCCAGTCGTAGCCCTTGAGCACCTGCGACACGGCATCGCGGATGCAGGCCGGGAAGCGCTCGTCCGCCGCCTCCGCCGTGTCGCCCCGGGCTCCCCCCGCTGCGCCCCCCGCGCGGCCCAGGCCCTCGGAGCCGGTGGGCGACGGCGGCGCGTCCGAGTCCGAGTCCTCCACGTGCGACATGGAGCTGGCAGTGCCGGACGGGCTGCAGGGCGGCTGGGCGCGGGCCTCGCTCATGTCCAGCATCGGGGCCGCGCGCGGAGGGGCGAGCACAGGAGACGCGCACCGGGGCCGGCGCCCGGGGCTGCCCTGCGGCCGCTCTGGGACCCGAGGTCGCCTCGCGGTAGCCCGATACTCGTTCCCCGCCGCCGAGGCTCGGTTCCCGCTCCGGGACCCGCAACAAGTTTCTTTAAGCGGCGGCCCCGCGGCCCCGCCCCCCGCACGGCTGCCCATTGGTGGAGCGCGTCCCTCTCCCCCGGAGGCGGAGCCCGGCCGCCCCCGCCCCCCCACCCATAAAGAAAGCGCCGCCGCTCTCGCCGCGCCCCCGCCCTCCCCGCACCACGTGGGCCCGGCGCCCCACGCCTGGAGCTCCCCTTTCCGGAGCCCCGGGAAGGGAAGAGGGGCAGGGAGGCCGGGTGGGCGCAGGGGGGTCTCCGGCGCTCCCTCTCTAGTGCGGGCGCCGCGCGGCTCCTGGGAGTCGGCTGCCTGTGCCGAGATAGTCCTCCGGATCTTCCCCGACACACGCGCGCAGGCGCGCGCGCGCACACACACACACACACACACACACACACACACACACACACAGGTCTCGCCCGCAGCCCGGCGGCTTGGGGTCAGCTGCTGCCTGCGGTCCAGGGCAGGGTCCGTTCCGCCGCGCGGCGCCTAAGCCGGGGCTCCCGGCCCGCAAGGTCGGCGCGAGGGGCAGGAGCCCCCCCAGCTCGTCCAGAGTCTGCGGGCAGCGCACATCCAGGTAACGCGCGCCCAGGGGCGGCGGCTCATAGCTGGGGGAGCCGGGGTCTCCCTCCCCATCTGGGCGCGAGCGTGGAGAGCGCCGGCGGGGGCGCGGTCCCAGGAGCCGGACAGCTGGAGGGGCGGGAACGCTGGGCGGGGCTTGCGTTGACCCCGGCGCTGAGTCCCTGGGGCGCCCGGCGGATGGCGTGGCCGGACGCGGGGGCCCCGGGCCTTCCGGGCGTGACCCAGGGCTCGGGGGCTGGGAGGCCCTCCGGCGTGGCGGCGCTGGGTGGTCCGGCAGAGGCGGAGGCCGCTCCGAGCCTCTGCGCCCCGGGCGCTTGCGGAGGAGGGGAGAGGGCGGGGTGTGCCGCCCTGGTGGAGACCGCGGGGTCGGAGAGGGTACTTTTCCGCCGAGGCGAGCGCCCGGCCGCTGCTCGGGTCCCCGCCCAAGGCTGCCCCCGAGAGGTGGCCTCGGGCCCCGCCGTCCCCGAGGCTGGCTCGGATTCTTTCAACCAACGCGCCGGAGGCAACGGGGCTACGCTATTCCTGATCAGGCGGCCCACGCGGGACACGCGCGTCTCCGAGCTTGCGGCCCGCGAAACCCGGGTGACCCAGCGCGCTGGTGCCCCTAAAGCGTCCACGCCCGGGCCGGTGGCCGCCGCAGCCCCCGAGCCACGCCGTCTCCCCGTCCCGCCGGCAGGAGCTGGTCCGTTACCAGAACAGTCCAGATGGAAAGTCGGGGGTCATGGTGCCGCGTCCCGCCCGCGCGCCGCTCGAACCTGGGGCCGCCACCAACCGCGCAGGAGGCGCCTCCTATCCCCACTCTGGCCTGGCAAGAGTTGTCCCCAACTGTGGAGAGTTGGTGCCCCCAGCGGCCGCCCGCCCCCGTCTGCAGGTGGAGGAGGCCTGGGCCCCGGAGCCCTTGCCGTCTTGCCTTGGAAACAACCCGAGCCAGCCCCATGATGGGGAGCTGAGGGCCCAGGGCCTTTCAAGGGAACATTGGCCTCCAGGCTGAAGAGCGAGGGCCCTGCCACCCGCCGGGAGGGGAGGGCCTCATCTCTGCAAGTGGGCAGACCTCTGGCCAGGTCAGAGGAAGCGCTGGAGAGGCGGACTGCGCGCTGGGAGTCTCCATCCGTCGCAGTTGCGGAGCTGGCTCCCACCCCACCGGCCGCTTGGCCCTGGCACCTGCCAGGGAAGACCCACACCTCCATCTGCATTGCCCCTTCTCCCCAGAGGCCCTGCCCTCCGCTCGGGGTCCCTTCCCTCCCGTGGCCCTCAGAGCATCCCTGGTGCAGGAAGGAGGACTTCTGGGGGCTCCCAGTGGAGACAGAAGCCTGGGCACTCACGGACTTGTCTGTTAGGCCTGGGACACAGGCAGGCAGAAGTGGGGGTATAAGTGCGGGCAGTGAGGGTGTGGCCTGGCCCAAACTGTGCCACCTTCCACCCCCTGCCCCTGGGAGAGCAGACACTGCCCAATTGGGCTCCGCACGCCATCCAGGTGAGGGCCTCTATGGAGAGCTCCTCTTTACCAAGGAAAAGAGGCAGGCAGGGCGGCCTCTTCCCAGCTCCCCACCCACCACGCAGGCTTCTGTCCCTGCGACACAGATGGGGGACTCCAGGGCCCCTGGAGGAAGGGAGACTGAGTGGGGCATCCAGGGCCTGACGTGGGGGCACAGTGATCTGTGCATCCGAGAGGCCCTGTCCGGGGCCCACCAGGGCCTGCACCTTTCCCTCAGGCTGCAGTGGCCACCAGGGGAGGTACTGCTGGGCGTGCAGGCTGCCACTGGGGGTGTGGGGAGGTGGGGAGTCTCTGGGTGGCGGGGGGCCCTAGGCCAGCTGAGGACGTGTTGGTTCCCTCCTGGGAGGGTGGAATGGGGGTGAGGGTCCCCATGCAGGGTGGTGCCCTGAAGCCCTCCTTCCAGAGTTGTCTCTGGTCCACCTTGAAGTCCCCAGAAAAATGCCCTTGTCCCCCATGGGTGTGAGCCACTAGGCCCTGAGTGGACGCCGGGACGGAGCTTTCAGAGTGGGAGGTGTGGGGGTGGGTTGAGTGCCACCAGGCAGTGAATAAGCACTTGAGTGTGCCATGCGCTCTCCCGCACAGGACGGGGCCAGACCACCCTTGCAGCACCTGCCTTGTGGAGGGAGGCGGGCAGCAGGTAACCCCAAAAGCACCTGTCAGAGGCAGGGACTTCAGGAAGAGTGGTCCGGAAAAGCATCTTGGGTGTCATTTAAGCTGACCCCTGAAGCTTCCCACCTCCTGCAGGGAGAAGCTTGCATGTTCCCTGGGGAAGCCAGATCAGGGGACCTGGGGGCTGAGAGTGGAGGGGTAACCATCGGAGCCCCCTCTGAGTCCACCCGATGGGCCCATGTCCTCATCTAGGGGGACCTGCACCCCTCATCCCGTTTCCCCTCAGCGGGGGCCAGCGTGACCCTATCTGCATGACCCCACCCGCCCTGACCTCACCCCGGCTGGTGGGCCATGTGGTTTCAGGGTGAGGACCTGATGGGGAACCTGGACCAAAGCTGTTCCCTGGCCGTGAACCCTGGGTGTGGAGGGCTGGTGGAGACCCCATTCCTAGCCCCACACGCCCTGGCCTGGGTGCCAAGGACAGCTGCAGAGAGGAGTGTGGGGGGAAGGTGCCACTGCCCATGAGATGGGGCAGGGATGGCCGGGGGGGGGCACTTCTAGACCAGAGACCTTCTGCCCCACCTGTGGCTCCTAGGGATGGTGACCCAGACACATGTGTGTTTGTGTGTGTGGTGTGTTTGTATGGCATGTGAGGTGTGGTATGTGTATGGGGTGATGTGTGTATGGTATGCATCTGTATATGGTGTGAATGTGTGGTGTGTGTAGGGCCCCAGGTTGTGCGCGGCATGGGTGTGGTGTGTGTGTGGTGTGCATGTGTACGATGTGTGTGATATGTGTGCGGGGTGTGCACGTAGGGTGTGTGGTGTGAGTGTATGATGTGTATACAGTGTATATGTGTGGTGTATGTTGTATACATGTGGTGTGTGTGGTGAGTATGTATGTGTGTGTGGGATGTGTGCGGTGTATGTGTGTAGGGTGTGTGTATGGTGTGGTATGTATGTGGTGTGCGTGTGTATGATGTGTGTATGGGGTGCGTGAGGGGTGTGTGTGTGTGTGTGTGTGTGTGTGTGGTGTGTTGGGCCCAGGGCCCATGAAGGAAGCAGGGCTGCCCATGGAAATGCCACCCTGGAGAGGCCTTCGTCCCTCCGTGCCCATCCCCCCGTCCCCCTCCGTCCCTCCCTGCTTGTCCCCCCCGTCCCCCTCCATCCCTCCCTGCCCATCCCCCCGTCCCCGTCCGTCCCTCCCTGCTTGTCCTCCCCTGTCCGCCACTGTCTGCCCCCGACCGGCCCTCCTCCTGCAGCAGGCAGCCCATCTTTTGTGCAGTCTGTGAGAAGTGCGGGCAGGGCCGGGCGGGCGTGAACCCGCTGGCATCCCATGTGTGCACAGCCCTGGCTTGGGCCTCCCAGCCCCTGCATCCCGAGCACCCGTGGGGCAGTTGGCAGCATCCTGGCACGGCCTGGGACATTAATTGGTGATTTTAATGACTGCTGGTCTGGCAGAGACGGAGTGACTACAGGCTGGACCGAGCAGGCTGTGAGCAGAAGCTGGGAAAGGCACCCGCCCAGGTCTCCAGGGGAGAGGGGGGGTTTGCAGGGCCCGTCTCAGGACCTCCTTCCCGAGTCGGCTTCCTGGCCACACCCACTGGGAGCCCTGGGTAGGGTGCGGCCCCTGTACTTAGCTGTCTCGGGTGCTGGCAGTGCCAGTGGGGCACGAGTTCTGGTTTGGGCTGAGGCTGGCCCGCTGGTTGGGGTGGCGTCTGCCTGAGAACTGGTCTTGTCTGTGCCTTAAGCTTCCTGCGCTCACAGGGCCGTGGAAAAGCACTCAGTGAGCCTTTCCTGTCCCAGACGTCCTCCTGCTCCTCCTGATGCCCCGGCCTCCACGGAGGGCGACCGGCTCCAGCCCGGCCCTCGCCGTCTCCACCTCCCAGTCCCCTGATGCACCGGGAGCCTCCTGAGCCATGAACCCCTGCTGGCAGGAGTGGCCCCTGACCGCTGGGGACCCCTGCCCCGGCTGCTGTCATGTGGAAAGGATTCAGGGAGCAGGCGCTGCTCAGACTGAAGTGTGGGGGCCGTGCTGCCTGCCCCCAGCCACAGCTGCACACCCAGGTCACGGATGCGTCGGGAACAGCTGTGGCTCCCGCTGCTCAGCATCTATCACGCCAGGCTGGGAGCGGGTCCCCAAGCTTCCGGCTAGGCCCTGTCCATCTCTACTCTCAGTGGGGGGGGGGGGTTGCTCTCTGACAGTGGGCAGAGGGTCCTCCTGCAGCCCCAAAACATCCCAGGCAGGGGCCCTGGGGCTCCGAGCAGCCAAGGACAGGTGAGCACCAAGGGGCTCCCAG